AAAAAAAAAAAAAAAAGAATCTGTGATCGTTCCATGGTAACTCCTGGAAAAATGCAACATACGCTCCAATCTTAGTCATTGCTGCAGGATCTCTGGATTTGGGACTAGTTACTTGGCAATGATTTAGCAGTGACTAGGTATAGGAATGTGGGAGAGTTTTCTTTGCCCTAATTTTTCATAGCCGTTAATTTTTTTCTTAGTTTCCCTTAGCCATTTCAGCCATTAATTTAATGTCTTAATAATTTGGCATGAGTTAGCTGGTATTGGATTAACCTTACCAAGCTCGATCTGTGTACTTTGTGTACAGATGTTTGTTTGTATTTGATAGATGGTTTTTTGTAAAACATTACCATAATTCCAGTGATAATAAAGGCTTGTTGGTTCTCTATCATTTTCTTTGGTTTTCTAGCTGTTGGATGACATGGGTTTGAAAGAGTGACAGGTTTTCTTTCCTCCTTAGCTTTGGAAGGAGATTATTGGTGATTTAATTTAAGAAGTAATATATGTGCATGAGTTACATCTACAGATTTTTATATGACATTTATAAATCCATATAATGGATTTTAATTTTAATTTAATGGAACTGTGAAAAGAATGTTAAAAATAAAACTGTTAAGAAATTGTAAGACATTTTGTGTAACTAATTTCTGTACGTTTGAAAGATTAAGTAGGTTGCCAGAGAAACTGATCAGTTTTTTATGAATAATTAATATAATTAAGTTGTCCCACAATTTTGTCATTAAAAAAAATTACCCTAAATTTTTCCAAATTTAAGTATGTTGAAGATGACATTAAAATATTCATTAGGTTTTTCTAACCATTTCTATACTGACAAGTGAAAAAGTGAAACATGTAGATTTTTAAGTTGAGTTATGTGACACTACTATTTCTTGACAGAAAAATTAATTTTCTAAAATGCTCGAGAAATTACTAGGTAGTTATACCAGTGTTAGATCAGTATCAATCAAAGTATAAAATAGATTTTTTTTTTGTTTGGTTAAACACATTAAAAACACTTTAGAAAGAGGCTTAAAGATATGTGTGTTAATTAACATGTCTGAGTAAAACAAGTTCTGTTTTTTAATTTTAAATATATGAATATTTGTGTTCATTTTTTTATTTTGCTAAAAAAATCTGTTTCTCAATGTACTTGTCTTCTGAACCCTCTAAAATAGGCTAGAAATATCAAATTATCAGTCTTTATTATAAGGGATTATATAGAAACTGGGAATAGAGGTCTGCTTTTTTTTTTTTTTGTTTTTTGTTTTTTTAAAGTCTAAATGAAGTTCTCTGGAAAATATAGATGTAGATCTTCCTCTTCCGTGATGGGAGTCTAACTACATTACTCAGCAGCAATTACTAATGTTTATTTTACATTCTAGGTAAAACTGCCTTTTAATGCACAACGAATAATCTCACTCTCCCGAAATGATTTTCAATCCTTGTTGAAAATGCACAAGCTGACCCCAGAACAACTGGACTGCATCCATGACATTCGAAGGAGAAGTAAAAACAGAATAGCTGCGCAGCGCTGTCGCAAGAGAAAACTGGACTGTATACAGAATCTGGAATCAGAAATTGAGAAGCTGGTAAGTTTGCAGGTTTCTTGTTACTCAAATTCCACCGCATCCCTTCAGTTACTCTTTTTTTTTTTTTTTGTAGAGGAAATAGCAGTTTCAATTCCTGAGTCAGATACGATGCTCAATTACATGTTAATTTCAAAATTCACCAATTACCATCTTAAGAAAATAAGTTACATGATGTTTTTCGAAAGCTTGGGAGACGAAAAGAGTTTTCATAGACTCTTATGCTTATGCTGGTATTCTACATCTTTAGTGTGATATGCTATAATATGTACACTGAGAACTATTTTTGGGTGTGTGTGTGTTTTAACTGTCTACCTAATTCTTAGTGGTTGAGTAGAGATTGAAGAAACTCTGAAACACTTTAATCTCTTTTAAGTATCTATAAAAGCTAATGTTACAATTGTTCATTTAAATTGACGGTAGACTTGAATAACTTGTTTTGATCGATACTGGAACCAATAAACGAACTTGGATCTTTCGTCTAAGAAAGAACTCATTTGCTGATATGAATAGAAAATTCAAGATTTATTGAGACTCTAGAGGGAGAGGAATGCTTACATTATTGAATCTTGTTATTTATTCCAGCATCAAAACGCAAATTAATTGAAAAATGGATTAATTTGCACCCAGGTTTCTCTGTTCCCCTAGTGGTTGGTGGAAGAAAGCATTGTATGAAAGAGACAACTATGGGAGTGCAGCTGTAGAGACAGCAGGGAACCAGCACTGAGAAATAGCAAAAACATTCTTGGAATATTTAGTTTGGAGTCTTTGTTAATTATTGGTGAAAGTTTGAAATTGTGATTGTAGCAAGTTCTCAAGCACAAACATTCTAGCTATGAACAGCAATCAATCAGCAACATTTTAGAAAAAAGAACCTGTCTGGGGAAATGCATTCTTATTTTGTGCTGTACTGGGTTGTTATGACAGTGTTGTGTTTTCTTCCATTCAGTTCATCTTTGCCCTCATCAGAAAAAAAGAAAAGAATAAAAAACCAGTCTGTGCCTTTATATACAGAAAAATGGAAAAATAAAAATTTATTATTCATCTATTGTGGTCAGTACCCTATTTACCTGTTGTATTAATTTGGACACTGGCTGTAAGAAATAGAAACCATCTGAAGCATGAATGAATGAATAAAGGAATGAATTTGTTGTGAGGATACAGGTGTCTCATTTAGAAGCCCAAGAGTGAAGCAGGCATCGTAAACAGTATAGAATAAGAAAGTGGAAAACTGCCACCAGAAACCCAGAGAATCTTCTCTGTCACCCCATCTTCATGCACCTGCTCACTCTGCACTGTGATGCTAGATGCGGATGGGAAGGGTAGCTGCAGTGTGGCTTCTGAATAGTCTCTCTCTCTTCCAGGATCTAGTCCGATGGACACTACAGTTTTAGTTCTAAATTCCCAAGGAGGTGAGCATCTAATTGGCTTACTTCAGCTCAGGTGTCCTTTTCTGTGACAAGAGAGAAGGGACAGATAGTTACAGCCCAGCTGCCAGGAGCCCACCTCTGGGCAGGCAGAGCACATCGCCTGCCAGGGATCTGCTCATCCAGATGTGCACCAGGCTGACTGAGCTCAGCTCAGTCTCTTTCCACTTCCCAATATCTCCAGAGAAAACATGCTAGCTTTTTCTTCTTTTTCTTTTTTGCAGAGTGTCTTGCGTTATGTTTTAGCTTCCTTGAACTCACTGTCCTGTCCTTCCTACTACTCTCCGTTCTAGTGATTTTTACAGGCACACTCTAGCTGCAAAGTGTAAGGGGCACTTGTAAAGTTCAGACCTGCCACAGATGTCTCTCTCAGGTGAAAATAAGCAGAGAATGTGTTACTTCTTAGCTAACAGGAATAAGAAAGCTGGCCCTTTTCCTAGATGTAAAAGAGTTTGAGCCTTAAGTTATTTTATTACATTAAGAAATTTACTTGGAATTTAGACCCTGGTTATCGGGTGATGTTTTGGGTCTTGTTGCCTTTTGTAAAGAGAGAAGGACCAACAGTAGAGTGGAGAATATGGAAGAGTGCGACAGATTTGTATTTTTTAAATTGAGAGGGTACTTTCTGGAAACATGGTCAGTAGACAAGCAGTATTTCCCAGTATTTGTATTCTGGGTGGTATTTTAGTGAACCTACTTAAGGGAAATTACTTGTTTCGTAATGAAACAGCCATGGTGATGTAGCCAATAACTGGTTAGGTTAACATATAAATGAATTCACAGTATATGTTGCCCTGATCTGGTGATTAGGCGAAGGGCCCATATTTTAGTAAACTTTAGTCTGTGGCTATTGGCTGCAAACTTTTTGCAGTTTGTCGTAAGAGTAATAGCATAATAGACTGGATGGAAAAACACATGAAGAACAGTGTTTTGATCACGGTAAGAATAGTGATTCTAAAATGTCTTCACGGTAGATTTGTAGAATAATTATCATGTATAAAGGACACTTTAATAGTCTCAATGCGCTATGAAAGACAATGGGTGATGTTAGTTCAAATTCAATAAATAAATGAGTTGTATTTTTCAACAAGAAGTCCTGTCAGAATCTAATAGAACCTTTGAAGAAAAAGAAAGAGGTGTATTTATTTGGTGGGTAAATTGATGGTAATTACTTTTAACATTTATGGTGTATTAGAGGTTAGGCATTGATTTGTCATTGCATTTACTATAAGGACTTTGAATATGAATAATCTATAGACCAATAACATGACTTTTTTTTTTAACCAGTAAAGTTCAAGAATCATTCAATTTTTGTTATGTTTGGCTTACAAAGCTCTTGTCTTTAAGGATTCTTTACAAGGTCCATGTTTCTTCTTGAACATTTCTTGAGAAATTAAGAACTAGTATGTTTCTAATAATATTTTTGCCTCAAGGAAAGGTAACCCTGAAATGAAGGGAACTTAGCTTTTTTTAAAAATTTAATTTAATTTAATTTCAACTAATTAATTTATTTACGAGAGAGCACAAGTGGGAGAAAGGGGCAGAGGGAGAGAGGGCAAGAATCTCAAGCAGGCTCTCTGCTTAGTGTGGAACCTCATGTGGGGCTGGATCTCACGACACTGGGATCGTGACCTGAGTTGAAATCAAGAGTCAGACACTCAAATTGACTGAGCCACCCAGGCACTCCGGGAATTTAGCTTTTTAAAGAAAACAAATTACCAAAGTGTATTTCTCTTAGATGTTATCCAATATTTATTGGTATCAACGTATAAATGATCAGAAATCAGAATATTCACAAAAGCACTTGGATTCAGACTTGAGGTATATAGACATCATTTTGTTTCATTGCTTTTATCTATTGTGATGGTATAGGAGTACAAAGACCTCATCTGTCCTTAGTATTTTACATCTTGTGGTGAAGATTGTATTATTTTATTGAAAATAAACTTGTTTTGGGGCGCCTGGGTGCATGGTTCAGTCAGTACTCTTGATCTTGGCTTGGGTCCTGATCTCACGGTTCATGAGTTTGAGCCCTGTGTTGGGTTCTATGCTGACAGCAGATTCTCTGATTCAGCAGATTCTCTGGGATTCTCTGTCTCCCTCTCTCTCTCTGCCCCTCCTCTTCTCTCTCTCTCTGTCTCTCTCTCAAAAATAAATAAATATTAAAAAGATAAATCTGTTCTAGCCACGTGCTGCTGGCTGCTCTGAGCACACGCACAC